CCATTATTGTGCGATGTATCAATATTTCCATTTATAAATGTTAATGAAAACATACAGTTGTATTTATTTAAGTTTTTCATGGTAATGAGAACTCTTCACACCAAGACCATAAAATAAATTATAGAGCAAATCAGATAGTTTTCCTTAGAAGAGACAATTAAACTTTTTCTTTTATGCAATAAATTGAAAACTTTAGTTGTTTTGAATCTTTATTCATTTGATTCTTTCTTCATAGTTCATGTCATAATAAAGTTTCCTGAAATTCACACATAAATGCAAGATTCCCAAAATAGATGATATCTGAAAGAAAAATAAAATATGATATATGCAGTCTTATATATATATATATACACACACACACACACATATATATAGCATTCTACACAACTTACATGTTACATATATAATCTAATAAACATATTTTTAATTTGTATTTCTCTAAATACAGGATCATCTAAAAATGATTCCACTAATGTATCTTAAACATATGAACCTTCTACCTTGACATTTAAATTTATAATATATCGAGTGTGTCCACCATATCTATTTTCTTACATTGTTTATAATGATTTATACAAAAAGACAATAGTTGTATTACCATATTCAAAGAAATTAGTAGAATGGGTTGTAAACATAGATCAATTCTCTTATGTTTCTTATGCACTTAAAAGCGCGATGAAGCGTGTGTATAATTGTTTCGTGGTTGGAAAATTATAGATGATTTTTTGGGAAATATGTACTGGAACGTGTTTGCAAAGTATATTCTTTCTCGAACGTGTTCGATGATGCGAGTTTATAGCCGATGATGATTACTCCCCTTATGTATTTGTAATAAGCATCATAAAATAAATATTATAATTTTTTATCTAAAAACTTTAAATATTTTTTTTATTATCCACTAATATTTGTTACATTGATGTAGATGGTTCAATGAATAAATAAGAAAGAATACTACTTATATTATTTTGACATAGATGTCAAAATAATTAGCACATTTTTTTAAGAATTAAATATAAAAGTAATTACATTTATAACAATTAATATTATACCATAAATATTTCGATTAGGAACACCAATTAATATTTAATTTCTTACACATAAATACTCACTTATCAAGTCTTGATCATTTTACAAAGTTATAAATGGAAATGATAATTTTTGTTACATGTAAATTTTTACAAAGCTATACATGGAAAACAATAATTTTAAAATGGAAAATACTAATTTTAAAATGGAACATACTTTTTATTTGATTTAGAATTTTTTATATATACGGAATAAAATTAATGCTCTATTAAATAAGCGTGCCCATAAAAATCCAGTTCCTTTTATATATTTGTTTCTTTTTTTTTAAATAATTAGAAAATATCTCCAAATACTATTAATTCAAAGCAAAAAAATCAAATGTAATTTCGTTTAGTCCTACCAATCTATCCGTTCTTAAAGTAAATTTATTTGTTTTGATTATAGTTTTTGAATAGGTGGTTTTTTCAAATTTCAAACTATACTATTTAATTTAAATATTTTCCAATAATGAATGAAAATATAAAAGTTTTTAAACGCGATTTTATGGAGAAATTTATGTGTAACAAATATGAAATTTAATTTCCGCATAATAAGTTTTTTTGTTAACTATGTTTTAAACATTACTTGCTAACATGACATGCTGATATGTTAAAAAAGTTGTCTAATAAGCACGCCACATGTCACAATTCTAGAAGCCCAACCCGTTTGGAATATTGAGGAAGTTGATTTTGATGACGTGGCTGATGAAGTGTCAAAAAAAGATCCAGTCAGCATGCCAAATGTCGCAATTCTGAGAGTTCAACTCTCAAATATTATATATAAAGGATTATGCTACGTGTTAGAATATAAAAACATTTCATGGGCCTACAACCACAAACTTGAGCTTATGCTTGAGTTGGTTCCTTGACATGGTATCAAAACCTTGATGACAAAGAGAAAGAAGTCACGGGTTCGAAACTCAGCGCCACCTAGATTTAATAAAAGTAAAGTTTCATGTTCAAGGTTCGAAACAATCACGCCTCCATGTGAGGGCACTGAGGCGGCGTGTTAGAATATAAAAACCTTTCCTCGACCTACAACCAAGTTTGGAGGCATCTCTAACTAAATAACTAAATCAACTATTCCATTAAAAAATGGGGGACCAAAAAGTACTTTCCCTTTTGTTTGTTTTTGTTTTTGAGGTTACTAAGGCTCTAGTAAGAACTAAGGCTCTGTTCATGTTGGAAAAATTGGAAGGAGTTGGAAAAACTAGGAGTTGTAAGAAATTGGAAGGCGTTGGAAAAACTAGAAAGAGTTGGAAAAATTTTGAAAGAGTTTTAAAAAATGTTAAAATAATTCTTTTATTATACAAATTTCATATTTTTTTAAAAAATGTATCTTCTGCTTTTTAAATTTTTAATCTCCTTTTATTTTCTTTTATGCCATCATAGTTATTTAAGGCGTGATGTGCACCGATGCACAAAGGACCTCTAGTGCCTCGATGCACGATGCGCAAATAATGCGCGTGCATCACGAACATGAGGCGCATATTAAAGCACCGGTAGAATTTCTAGTATACCTACATTAGCAATTATATATATATATATATATATACACACACACACATAAAATTTTGAAAAGCATAATAAAGGTTAAGAAACAAATGTTTAAAAAACAGAACAATATAAAAAACAGAGAACAATATGTTTATAAAAAACCAATAAAAAGCAGAGAAGGACTTGCCCAGTAGAAAGAAGAGAAACCAACGAGAGAAAAAATATTGTAAGAAGGAAGAGAGCCGACTTAGTAGGTGTGCCGGTTTGGAGAAGGACTTGCGAGACTGGGGAGGAAGAGTCGTACTTGAATCGAAGAAATAAAAGAAAGAGAAAACAACCGTTTAATTTGCCCAGTAGGTATGCCATTTAATCTCCTTGGAATCGTAAAACTTGGGAGGGGTGAGTTGTAATAAATATTAGCGCTAATCCCTAAACCTAATTAATAAAAAAAATAAAAAACATATGTTCACAAGGTGCGCCTCTTTGCGCATCAATACACTGCGCATATTGCGACGAGGCACAATAAGGCGAGCGCCTCACGAACAGTGTGCGCATCAAGGTTGGCGATGCACTACTCCTGGCGCGCGCTTTTCACAACTATGTATGCCATTATATTTTATCCCAAATCGTATTTGTAATTTCTTGTGACTCACACTCTTTCTTTGCTTTTTAAAATCAATATCAGTTATATAGTTTTGTATTTTTTCAGTTATATGTCACTAGTCCATGTAACAAAAATAAGAACACAAATGAAGCAACACTTTTTCTTAATCTTAGTTGAAAGGAAAACTGGACTAATATTATACTTCCCCTGTCCTACTTGAATCTTTACGTACACTATTCAATTGGTGTATTAAATTGGTGTATTAACATTTATTATTTTGCATACGCTTAAAACATGCACATTATAAAAATTATTAGTGTATGCATATTTAAAAGTTATGTAATGCATAATGAAAGAAAATAGAATTTACAATTTTTTTGCTCAAAACTATAAAATGTTGACTAGAACACATTTCAAAGAAACATAGTTAACGAAAATTTCAAAACCACAAATGATATTTTAAATTAATTAATTTCAAATTTTAATAATTTACATGACTCTATCTATAATGGTAACTAAAATTTATATCTATGACACAATAAATTTTTTATTTTATTGAGATAATAATAATAATATATAAAATTAAACCTAAATAATTTTTCAAGTCATTGTTGGAAGAAATGGGAAGAAACTGGAAGGAGTTGCAAGAAATTAGGAGTTGAAAGACACTGGAAGGAGTTGGTAAGAACTCAATGAGTTGGAAGAAACTGGGATGAGTTGTAAGAAACTGGAAGGAGTTGTAAAATGTTGAAAATTAAGACTTAACGCTCAAAAGAAGAGAGCCTAAGAAGAGTGTGTGTGTGTGGATATATATGTATGTATGTATGTATGTATGTATGTATGTATGTATGTATGTATATGTATAAACAGTCAAAAATTTGATATGTGTTGGAGTTACCACATCGAAAAATAAAGATGAATACTACTAGCATATATAGAAAGGTGAAGTCCTACCTATCTGCAAGTGCCTAATTTTACCCGACACTCTACTCGTTGTTCTCGACCTACCGGAATTTTATCATGGTATCGAAGCGAGTTTTTCCCCACCTCGTTTGTTAAGGTGTCTATTTAGACGTTCATTCCTAGCGGCCCCAGTCTTTAGCCCAGTTGCCTATGTGGGATGTACATCCAACGGCCTATAGCCTGTTTAACCCGATTGCTTGTCTGGAAGTTCATACCCAACAGCTCGTTGTCCTTTAGGTGTTGGTGCTCAAAAAAAACGAGATGAGAATCCATTTACAAGTGGTCAGCGTTTAGATTCAAAATAGCCCGGTTTCCACTTGAGGGAGAGTGTGAGAGTGCATCCCACATCAGAAATTTTAGAAAGAAATAATTGGCATATAAGCTCTTGAGTTGAACTAAATAATCGAATGGATTTAATCTTTTAATATGGTTCAACCCAAGTGTCTTATTGCCCAGTCCAGTTAACCCTACTCCATCCTAAATTCTATCAATATGTATGTACTCTGTATATACTATATGAAATTCCACAACATACCTGTGGTAGAAGCATTAGCAAACCATACAAAGCTTTCAACAACCAAATATATCTTCCAGGTTCAAGAAGCTGTCAGGAAAACAACAATGAAAATGCTGAAGAGCAATTTAAAAAACATAGCCAGTTAATTTGAAAATGAAGCCACTAATGTTCTATTGTTAATGTAGTATATGAAATGATACATTCTGACAGGTATTTAAATAAGAAACTCTTCTTTCAGCACATCAGCTACGCAAGGTGAAGATGTTGCTTCTACAAGTCACAGCTTTTAAGCTCTAGAAGTACAACTGTTTGTCCTATTATATATTCTAAGAGCGCCCATATCTCCCCAAGTCTCAGTTGTTTTTCTATTTGAAGTGGGTACTTAGCGTCATGATTTTCAGTTATGGTACAGGACAGCGGAATTGGTGTTTTGAGGAATGGTGTCACTGTTGGGACGAACAAAAAATAGTTAGCTGCCCCAACTAAATTAAATACATCAGAATAGTTTCCTAGATCTAATGCTGCAAGTTTATAAAGCAATTAAAATGCAGAAAAATTAAACATGAAAACGAAGAAATAACCTGAAATTGAATTGCAGAGAAAGAGGAATCAAAATTTCAAATGCATCAAGGATGCTCAAATGAGAATAAAAAGAGTCAAGGGGTCTCCTGTGAACACCAAATGTGTTGATGGATGATTCGATTCGGAAACTATTAAGCTTAAGGATGCTCAGGTAGTCAGGTGAGCACCCCAAAAGAATTCAAGTGTGATGTTGCAATGAGTATACATTTGTGGTCAGCATCACCTTCACTAGTTTTTGGTTTCAAATCTTGGTTTAGATCATCACTAACCTTTTAGCCCCCACAGCCGCCGGTGAAAACTCTTCACACAGCTAATAACCTCGTCATCATTGTCGTTTTTAGCGTTGCACCGTTCAAACGAATCAGGGAGCTCATACACCGCGATAGAAGCATCACTTTGACTAGTTTTTGGTTTCATATGTTGCTTTAGATCACCACTAACTGTTGGACCCCACAGTCGCTGTCGAGAACTCCTACGAACAGAGCTTACCTCGACTTCAATGTCTCTCTCAGCTTCATGACCTTCATATGAATCAGGGACCTCAATCACCGCATATATCACGAAAGAAGCATCACCTTCAGAAGCTTGTAGTTCCAGATTTGGATCCATGGAGTAAAGGGGATTGGATGGTGGGTGGATGAGATTAGATTGGATGGTGGGTGGATGAGATTAGATTGGAGGAGCAATTTGCACACTTCACTTTTCTTTACTAAAAGTAGAAAGAAGAAGATAATTTCGGGACGGCCTAAAAAGGAAAGAAGAAAGAAAGTATAATGTGTTAACTCCAGGTAAACAAGTGACTAAATCAAAATGGAACATTAAACTTCCCTTCTAGCATTCTATGAAATTTTAGGAAGTAAATGCAGTAATGCATCAAGGTGGTAGTGTGTTACAGATCTCTAGTTGTTGTTTCTGTTGTTATGACTTATAATTATTATTCTTGGAAACAGCCTCTATACTTCCCAAGTAGGGGTAAAGTCTACGAACACACACCTCCCAGAAAGTGGGATTTTATTGTGTTTGTTTACTTTGTTATTATTGTTTATTATTATTAGAGTAAATTCCATAACTGATCCCTTTATAACAGTGGGATTTCCATATTTATTCCTCTATTATCAAATATTACTCCCGTAGTCCTTTTATGGGTGCCTTTCCATGAATGGTTCTTTTTTTAATCTTCTGTCATGTTGGTGTTGATTTAAAGGCTAAAAGTATAATTTGACATCAGCCTTATGTCTAGTGACTATTCTGAAATTGGTTAGAAGAATAACACAAAAATAATGACTATGATTGTAAGCTAAGATTCTGTGGTAGAAAGCAACTGTAATTCACAAATAACACATCGGGAGCGGCCTTTAGGATTGTGTATGACAAGAAAGATACATTATCATTGTGAAATTACACTTTTAGCCTTCAAACTAAAACCGACATGATAGAAGATCAAAAAAGACTATTTGTGGAAAGATACCCATAAAAGAACCACCGGGGTAATATTTGATAATAGAGGACTAAATAGAGAAACCACCATGTTATAAAAGACCAATTATGGAATTTACTCTTATTATTATCATTATTGTTAGTATTATTATTATTATTACTATTCCCTCTATCCCGGAATTATCTTCTATGTTTGACTTGGCACGATTTTTAATGAAGTGGAATGCTGGTGGTGGTGCTTTGTGTAGAGGAAAGAGAATTGACATGGACCACATATTTGTTTCCTTAAAAGGAAAGAGGAGAAAACTTTGGGACAACCCGAATAGAAAAGAAGGAAGATAATTATGGGACGAAGGGAGTATTATTATTACAATTATTGTTATTATTAGTAGTATTATTATTAGTTTCTTTGTTGTAGTCTTATTCTTAGTTTCCAATTAGTGGTCTTATTCTATTTAGTAAATATTCCTAATAAGGATCTAGGTTTCTTTGTAGGATTATGTAGGCCTTGTGTAAGGCTTTGCCTATATATATATTGAACCAATTCATAAATAAATAAAATTATCGTTGAAGGCTTGAAGGAAATTACGAATTCGCTTGTCACAGGCTTTTGAACCCTAGGGTTATCTTATCACGCCACGGAAGACCGAGGAGACTCCCACCTTATCTCCACTGCCACCGGTTCTTCACATCCCTAGACAAGGAACACAACCTACACCCTTAAGAATTTGGCATCAAAGCTGCAATTCAAGGCACCCTCAAAAAACGATGACTTGGCGCCATAGCTCTGCGAGTTTATCATGTCCAACCAGTTCTCTGCAATTGAAGATGACTTCAAGGCTCTTTAGGGAAAGGCCGCGACCCTATCCGTGCCCATGGAAGCCCCAAAGGCATGCTAGCTGATAAGAATGAGTCGGTGTGGGGCAAAGAAAGAAGCTTCTGTCCAGAACACCTTCGCGTGGCTAGAAGAAACCATGGTGGGGCACGTGGGTTTAAAGCCCCAGCTTGCCAATATGGAGTTTCAGATGGAATCACTGATACGATTGCGTGGCCAGAACGTTGCAAAAAGTTTATTGTCCGGCAAGAGATTCCAGCCAAGGATAAAATCAGAAAAGTTTTATTCCATTCGCTGAGGAGGCCCAACTTTTGTTTGATAGGATGACAGAGGACGTTAAAATTCATTGCAACCAATTGAAGGAACTCTTCATTGAATGATTCAGACTGCAGATGAACATGGATCCTTTAGGGGACTTGAAGCCGTTGATGCAAACAAGAACGGTGAAGGACTACTGCACTCAATGTCAAACCGCCTTAGGACAACAATAGGAGTTCAACCGCAACACCAACTGGCCCTTTTCACTGTACGCCTAAATCCTGCATGCAGGGTGACGTCCAATTGGCCAAACCAAGTAATCTAGCTTATGCCATGAACCTCACCTGGACGCTTGCCAGCAAGCCAGCCCACACATCACTGTCAACAGCCCCACAGTTAATTGACATGGGCCCGATGGTGAACCACCCCGACATGAAACAAACCCTCCAATCTGCAACCACAAAAATCGGTAATCCTATTGTTCACAAGCTGTCTTGAGTGGAGATGGCAGAACACGGTAATTCAATCGGTCAGGGACTTTGCTACAATTGTGATTTTGTGAGGAGCATAGGACTACTACACATAAATACAAGAAGTTGTTCTTCATTGAATTCTAAAACACGTCTGAGGCAGATAACAAACCACCAGATGGGTAGCCACAGTTGTGTGTCCACACTTGATCTTGTGAACAAGCTTAAATTTGAGAGAGTGATGTTACGGATCCTTTGTTGTTATTAAACGGTCTCCAACACCTGATTTCCTTCCTCGCCCATAGCCGACGTGGCCGTTGCCCGTCTGGAATGCAGCGCTGTCCGCAAGGTCCTTGATCTGTCCGTCTACATGCCGTCCGTCCAGATGGATGAATCTGTGGGGGGTTTTTGTTTTGTATGCAATCTAATGGAACTCATGTCATATACTCCAAAGTCCAAATTTGTTTCTTTGATCAGTATTGGAATATTGGAACTCATCATTTTTCACTCCCACGTTTTTTGTTTTTTCAGTTTTTAGATAGGCCAAAAATGTATTCTCATCTACTTTCATTTATAAGTATTATTAATTTTAATGTAATTTAATTATTTGTTTAATTATATATTTATTTATTTACTTATAATTTTTATTATTTATTGAATTTAAAAAAAGAATTTTTTTATAAAAATAAAGAAAATAATAATGGTGATGTGGAATTAATGAGGGTGCATGTGGGAAGGATGGATATGGTAGTGTTGAGGGTAAAAAGTGTTTGGGACAAGGATTAGTGAAAAGCTAATGACCTAATGTGGCATGCTAACTATGACTGCATGTGGGAAGGGCGGCTCTCAGCATTGCAGAAAGTCTAAATATTAATATTAGTATTAATAGTATTTTTATTAGTTGCTAAATCCACTTTTACTATTAGTTGCTAAATCCACCCCAATTTTGGCTAAATCCACCCCAATTGTTACAACAACAACAACATTACTCCAGTGCCTCAATGGCTCCCGCCCATTGTGGGGTAAGGAGGGGTCGGATGTACACAATCTAACCCCTATGTTTAAAACATAGAACGGCTGTTTCCAGATGACCCATTATGAGTGTCGAAACTTGCATTGACTAACTGCTACTTCACAATTGCAAGAAGCGCAGACAATTTAAAGAGCCAATTTGTTACAAATATACAAATTTAGCGGTAAAAGTGTAAAAAAGGAAAGAGGACATAAGAACTTAGCTTATGGATAGACTTGTCCAATTCTTATAAATGGGATGGATTTAGCCAAATGTGAGGTGGACTTAGCAACACGCTTACTATTATTATTATTATTATTATTATTATTATTATTATTATTATTATTATTATTATTATTATTAGTTTCCTATTCATCGTCTTATTCTTAGTTGCCTATTAGTAGTCTTTTTCTAGTTAGTTAATATTCCTAATAAGTATCTAGGTTTCCTAGTAGGATTATGGTAGGTCTCATTGATATATTAAAAAGTTATCGTTGAAAAAAATTAAGAATTCAATTGTCACGGACTTTTGAACCCTAAGGTTTCTCGTCTGACCCATGGGCCCTCCACTGCGACTGGTACTTCACGTCCCTGGACTAGGAGCACTACCTATGCCCTTTAGCACAAGGGTCAAACAAAAACAGCCCCTTTGCCTTTTAGAGTGGGTAAGGTTGCGTACAACTTGACCCTTATATGGCTAGACCACAACAGAGTTGCGATCATATTGAGTTAAGTGTTGTATACCAATTAGAAATCATCGATTATTGCAATTTTTATTCGTTGGATGAGCTAAATTTAAAATATTTAGCCTGTTAGGGATACTTTTTAATTAAAAACATTAGATATAATGAAAATTAGCTTTTTGTTATTCAAATAACTCTTTTTGGGGAAAACATAAGACTATAATGGGACTCTAGGGGGTACTTAGTTTCTATGGTATGCGGTCATTGGGATCACATATCAGAAATAGAAAAAGAAGAAAACAACAGGAGGATTGGCATCAAAATAAATAAGTTGAGTAGAAATTTGCTTGCAAAGCAAACTTATCAAGTAGAAAACTTAGATACCTGCAGCCTCAAGTAAGCAAATGCGGGAGTCTCCAGAAGGTGAATTAATTTGTCAAGTTGGACCAAAAACTTTACATTGATGTCTTCCTCCACCAGTGACCGAATGACAGAACTAGCATGCTGGTATGCCTGTAATGCAGCTCCAAAAGTCACAGACGAAAAAATGTCATACTTGCAAAAGAAAAGGGGGAAATAACAAAATCCATAAGAGAGTAAAAAAATGGATATGATCCTTAAGATATCCTTACTTGTGCTAAGAAGCAGAGGCTTATTATGGCCATTGGTGAATGGCACCATGACGCATACAAAGAAAGAAAAAGATCTTTTCCAGAACCATTCGCTAAAGATTGTTTCAGAAGGTCACGAAGCTCAGACAGTTCAGATGAAGTAAGCAAAATCAAGTTCAAAGCCTGGAACAAATACAACAACAACCCAGTTAAATCCCACAAGAGTAGAGTCTGGGGAGGGTGTGTGTACGCAGACCTTGCCCCTACTTGAAAGTAGAGAGGCTGTTTCCAAAGAGACCCCCGGCTCAACGTCAAAAGTTGCATTGCTTGACTAACTGCTACTTCATTAATTAAAGAAGCGCAGACAGTTTAGAGATCCATTTTGATTTATTCCATCACACCCCAAAGCCAAAAAATGGTGAAATTTTGGCTCCATCGGAGATGATGGAAATAACCTGGAACAAATACAAAAGCAGTATTTCTGGTAACTAAAAATGCATAAACGGGTACTGGGTTATATACACATTTGAATAAGTGATACAACATGCAGATGTTATAGCATTGAAACCTTGGAGTTAATTAGTTAAGTGATTCTACAATGTCACTGTATCACTTTACAAGAGAATTCAGACTGCATTATCATTTATTAACCTTGATTACTGATAAAGGCACATTACAATAATCATCTTTAAGCCTCATAATATAGTAAAACCTGCACTATCATCGATGCAAAATCTAGATCTGATTCGCCTTCTAGTATTGTGGAAAGTTCCCTGTAAACTCTTTCAGCATCTAGAAGCACACAAAGCCTTCGAACTATCAAAGCGCCACGTCTGATAAGTAATTTCAAAAATAAGAAGCCATGAAAAGATACTGAATCGACACTGGGAACAAAAAATTTGTTAAGCTGCTAGAGTCGGGCACACTCACTTCTCTAGGAGAGAATGGTCATCACGAAAACAATGTACCAAAAAAACTATAAGTTGATGGAAGTGTTGTGGATCTTTAGCAACACATGCGTGCACATCAAGCACAAGAAGCACTACCTGAAAAACCACAAATATTTTGAGGTGTGGAAGATATATCAAGTATTTTGAGGTGTAGAAGAGATATCAAAAGACAGAAAAACCACAAAGCCTGATGGAGTTACAAGGAACAATGTATTATGAAGGTTTAAGAGAGCTACGAACAAAAAAAACATGTGCTAGAAAAAACCTCAATCAGAAACAGCAAAATTCTTACAGCATTTCTTATACCAACTAAAACCATCATTTTTATAGCACATTAGCACTACACTCAGTGTCTGCCGGAAAGATCTGATACATTCTTGTATGAGGATACCAAGCCAGGCTCTTACTCCAGCATAAAAGCTAGCTTACAGCTGAAGGTTAGGCATTGAGTTATGCAGCACTCCTCGTAGTTGAAGGAACCAATGCTTTCATCCTATCGATGCTAGCCTGATGGTAGCCCGCTAGCCCTTTCCCTTTTGGTGGAGTCACTCATCTATCAATATTTGGCACAGCATATTTTCGGGTATAGCACCTTAATCCAGCCTAGGGATAGCTCTCAGTTGCCTCGAATCCCAATAAGAGCACCAATAATACATTTTCATATTAAGTTACAAAGCCAACCCCTTACTCCACCACAACATCGAGCTTATGAGTGGAGGTGTGTCATTGACTTGAGAACTACTCCCTTATTTTTTTTAGGAGCCAATGTAGGAATTGTATGAAAATCTACAATATTCTTTCTTGGCATTGCACTCGAAGAGAACAAGGAGGTTACATATTTGATGAAAATTCACATGATTAATCTCATACATCATAAGGGAAGATAGAAGTGAGCGAAGAGATGGTATATGAGGATTCAATTAGCTAATCGGTTGGATTCAAACTTTTAACTAGGTTTGACCATGCACATCACATCCCAATGAATTAATAGACTCAACTCAGACCTGTTTTCATGTAGCATCTACCTATTTCAGATTTGAGTATCAACAGCCAAATGCTCATTTAATTAAAAGACTCAACAATCATGTGCATAATAACTAGACAACTATGCACAAAAGGCAGAAACCAGAAAAGGAGTGATCAATTATCATAATGTCAGCCTGATTATTTTCAAAAATAAAAACCTGTTTTACATTTTAGAAAATATCACTGGTTGATCCATATTGATATGAGGGTAAACATCAATAGAGAGAAAAGTGTTCTAGAAATTATAATGATTCATATCAGAAAGAAATGTAAATTTGAATATCTGTGGAATAGTATTACACATTTAGATACTATTATTAGCAACATTAGAAGTAAAAGAAATTTAGAAATTATAACTTGCATTGAAATGAGTCAATGACAAAGCATTCAAAATCACATTAGAAGCTAAACAGAATAAAAATGGCAGGAAATTCGGAAGGAAAGAAGTGGAAGAATGTACCTCATCTGAGGGGTCAGAGAGAGCCTTTAGAAGTGTGTCAAAAACGTCATTTAAAAAAACTAAGACCTGTTTCAAAAATAAAACTATACAGTGAGTACCAAACTTGACGTAGAGATTTAAATACTCCCTCCATCCCAAATAAATTGTCTCACTTCATTTTTCACAAGTCAAACATCTTCATTTTCTATACTTAGAGCTTGCCACGTCGATCTGACTGATCTGATTTAATTAAAGTCTCATCTAGTCTAATATGATTGTAGTTATATTTAAAACTGTTTCTGACTTGATCCAATAAGAATAATTGATAATAAACATAAATTGAAGAGAACAAGTTCAACTTATTCTTATTACTTATTTTTATTGGAATCAAATCACACCAGATTAGACCGGATCAGATACAACTTTTATAACTACAATCACATCAGACCAAAACAGACCAGACCTTAATAAAACCAAATCTGATCCTCAGATCAGATAAGGAGAACAAGCTATTATTGTAGTTTCATTTTTTAAAATAATACTCATGCTAGCTCTTGTTTTATAGAGAATTTGATGTAAGTTTTTAATAGATACATATTTTATTTTAAAATTTTGTACCATTATTAAAATATATTGGATTGAAAATAAACTAAGTCAAGCATCAATACCCGTAAAGTGACAATTAATTTGGGATGGAGGGAGAATTTGAAAATGAATGATACCATACCTTAATCAAAATTTGTTAACCACTTAATTTATATAAAACGAATACGAAGTATTTCAGACTATCCACATTAAAACCATGGTAGAAGGTTTGATGGCTTAAGGTAAAAAGCAATAAGTACTGGGTTCCTTCCGACCATAACTTTTTTGTTTGAAAACTCCGATCATAGCATTTAAGACAAAACAAAAATATGTTATCCATGGTTACCTCCTTCCGATGTCTAGTTAGTAAAGTTGACATCCAATGCAATGCTTCAATTCGTGTTGCCTCAAATTCACTAAACAACTGCCTGCCATAGAGATCCCAACAAAAGCTAGTGTTATACATACATACATACATACATATATATATATATATATAGACACACACACACACACATATATATAGACACACACACATACATATACTCCCTCCATCCATTTTTAATGTTCGTACTTTCCTTTTTCGTCCGTCCACAAATAAAATTCATGTTTCCTTATTTGGTAATTTTTCTTTATTGAAGTGACACAAATACCCTCCACTTTATTATCTTCTCTTTTCCATTCTTTCCGTTTCGCAGCTCCCCCAAATCCCAATTTCTCTTTCTTTTCCATCTTTTCTTCTTCATTCCTTTCTTTTTCTTCTCCTTTTTTCTTCTCTCCAGAACCTTCCCCGCCAATTTCTCTTTCTTCTCCTCCTTTTCTTCTACCTTCCTTTCTTTTTCTTCTCCTTTTTTTTTCTTTTCTCCAGTTCGATTTTTTCTTCTTCTTCTTCTTTAAGTCTTCTTCATCTTCTCCTTCAAATATTTTTCATTTTCTTCATATCTTCGACTCTTCCACCTTGTTGTGAGAATAGCTCGAATAGGGCCTTAAAAATGCCTGCGAAAATTCTAAAATGTTGAGGTTGGGAGAAATCTGAAATTTTTAGATCTATGAAACTTTCATTTTTTTCAGATTTATCTGAAATTTTTGGAGATCGAAGGGGGCCGAAGGTGAGCAGCGGTCAGAGGTCCGCGGAGCAGCAAGGCGGTGGTCGGAAGTAAACATCCTTCCCGTCAATTTCTGCAAAAATTGGGATTGATTCAAAGGTCTATTCTTAATTGATTGTTGACACCCACAATTTTTAGAAATTTATTTCATCCCTTTTGCTTTCCTCGCGATGCTGGTTGCTTTGTTTACCTCGCCGGTGGATGCTTTTGGTCTGCGGCTTGTCAAAAAAAAAGCTACGGAGGAGAAGAGCTGATGTACAAAAGAGAAGGGGTGGAGGGTATTTTGGTAAAGTCAATGACATTTACACTTTTTCTTAATCTCCGTGCCCGGTCAAACCCTGAACATTAAAAATGGACGGATGGAGTATATAGGTATGTCTGTATATATGTGTGTGTATGAATATATATATATATATATATATATGAATATATATATATATAGCTTGTGTGTGTGTGTGTTAGTGTCTATGTTTGAGGAGGGGAGGCAGGGGGTGCTGGAGTGGGGGTAGGAACCATCATATTTTTGAACGGAGCACAATATGTTGTTGTCATATTATGACTTTAGTAGTTGTTGTCAAAAGAATCGGGGTGATATTATATATATATGTATGTATGTATGTATGTATGTATATATATAGTGTGTGTGTGTGTCATTTGATTTTCTTGATTTGTTACTGCCCATCTTTTGTGGTCCATTTTTTTTGTTGTGTAAATGCGAGCAGATGGTACTAGAGTTGTGAGAATGAAGTGCAGAACTGCTCTGGAAAAAGTGTATTCGAGTTGGATTCGATTTGCAATGGTTTTATACATAATGTAGAGGAATAAAAGTTCATATTTTCCCAAAAACATTTAAAAATATATATACAAAATGAAAAAATGTGTGTGTAATCGTGTGTGTGTATATATATTTATATAGACACACACACACACAGATATATATATATACATACATATATATATGTGTGTGTGTGTGTGTGTGTGTGTGTGTGTAAAGTGCACAAAACACAAAGATAGACCACCGGCATATAAGAGCATTAAAAAATCTATTTCAGTCGTGTTACTAATTACTAGAGACTTAAAGAAAGAACAAAAAATGAACACTAAATTTTACTTGGTGAAAAATATATATACCTCCTAGCAATTGCTAGAATTGCTCCAACATCAAACCCTTCAGTTGGATCAACCTTGATTGATCGTAATTCATCATTAGTTTCACGAGCAACCTACAAAGAAAAAGACAAACAAGGAACACATGATCACAGTAACTAACATTTCACAACTGACTTTTAGTAATTAGTAATACGACTGAAATAAAATCTTAAAAGCATTGAATTCAAATAAAGAACATAATGACTTACAACTCTTATCTTTTCTTCCTTATCAGCAATACATGGCAAAATTGCACCAAGAATATCAGCATAATAGGGAACCAGCTGATCCCCACCAAGTTTTACAAACTCATTGATCTGCACAGAAAAATGCATGCCTTGAGACCAACTTATGCAAAGAACGGAAATGCAAATCAGCAATAGTAAAACTTTATTCGTAGAAAGAGTGACACATCACATTTGCCACCAGCCCAGTTGAACATTGCAATATAAGCATTAAAAAAACAAGCAAAGTAAGCAATGAAGCATGTGTAAGTATTGTTACCCAAGTAATAGCTGTCAGCCGAGTAAATTCATCTGGTGAGGCTGCCCTCTGCACCAATATCTCAGCCATACGACCATAATCTACAGACTTGAAATTAAACACATTAAAGTCAGAAAACAAGAGATAATCCCTATAGCTCCCTCTTAAAAACACTAACTTAAGAGTTGAGCCACTGATTCACGAAAATTATATTCTAAATATAGAGCAAGTCTGCCACCATTATTGCATAACCTAAGCAACTAAAACTTTCCTCACTACTGATGGTTTTGAATATTCTCTAATCTGCAGTTCTATTTAATATCAGAACATAGCTACAGCTAGAAATTTAACATCGTCAAGTACTGATAACTGTCAAATTGGTAGTAGCAAAGTTTCACAAATGTTAGGGAGTATTTCATAGTTGATGTGGTGCCTGTATCTTGAAAAGAACCTGGCATAACTAGCAAGGAATACACTCCTTAATTGGTTAACAGAGATGCACGGTAGAAAACATTTGCAATTATCTCAATTTGAAGTCTTCAACTTCAATGTTTTGTACTCCTATGATTAGCCTAACTTCTTTTTTTCAAAGCGATCAACCCCAAGTAATTCAACAAGCACATAAACAACAAAAGCAACTACAGCACAAATTTACACATTCATAAAAAGAAAGTTCACCACCATAACTGGAAAATTCTGTTCTTCAAGATGAAAACTCTTACAGGAGAGTTCTTAATTTCCTGAAGAAACTCTGAGAGTGCAGAATCAGCTTGTTGTCGTATTTCATGGCTAGAATCACTTAGCATATTAAATAAACCTGCAGTTGGCCATAGCAAGAAAAATGAATGAGTTACATGAACATAGTTAACATACCCCGTAAACAGAAGCACGTGGAAATATGGCATCCTCTAACCATGAGAAAAGTGACAATACCATCAAGGAAATCAGGAAGGAATCCAAGCATATCAATATCTGGAACACTATCTAATACTGTGATCCACCCAACCAGAAATTGACGCACGTACGGATTCAGGACATTCATCCGTTCTCTTAGAAGTGGTATAAATTCTTCAATGCTGGCACAAAAAGCTGTTCAATCTCATATTTGTGAACATTAAGAACAATACAACATAGAATTGAATGAACGAGTTAACCACACCTGAATTGATCACTCTCGGTGACAATGTCCTGCATTCAATGGAAGTATATGAGAGGATTACTTGAAGAGGCATACAAATTCAGAATGTAAACAAATCATTACAAAGCATATGGAGTTCTTCCAGTCAAAATGTTTCTACCCAACTAAATGTTTGTTCCAGCAGATTGCAACTGAAAGGGAGAACACAGAAAATGGCTACTTTTCTTCAAGAAGCATACCAAACATCACACCTTGAAGCACTGACATTTATCCCTAGTTCCCTACCTCAATGAAAACTGCTCCCTCCCTCCCCAAAATATAGAAAATGGCTATTTTTCTTCAAGAAGCATACCAAACATCACACCATCAAGCACTGGCGGTTATCCCTACCTCATTGACAACTACTCCCTCCGTCCCAAAATTAATATTTTCATGTGAAAATGGCATGAAGATTAAGAGTGAAAAGAAAATCATATAGATGCCCATGCCTACTGTTCTGGGTTCGGTAAAAGTGAAGTGAAAAGTAAAAAAATATACTGTTGAGGGTAAAAGCATATTTTTATTTAAAAGAAGTTAGAGGTGCATGCCAAAAGCGAAAATGGGAAGTAGATTTTTGGACAACCAAAAAAGGAAAGTTGGAAGTTAATTTTGAGACGGAGAAAGTAGTGCATTACCGCTATATGCATTTTTACAGAATCTTCCTTTGACTCTTTATAGATTGTAAAACCAATGTATCATTACCACAAAAAAAAAGTGTCGCTCATGAATAGATCCAAAACATTGGGGCAGTGAAGATATTAAAATCAAATGAATATATTAGTCACTGTGTTTAACGTCATGAAATTGTAAAGACCAAGTGACCAACACATTGTATCTTTGCCTGAATATTGATGATAAGAAAATGTATTTACTTGATATCTATCCTTCACAACAACAACGACAACCCAGTAAAATCCCGGAACAGCAGGGATATCTATCCTTCACACAATTCAATAATTTTCTAGTGAATAAATAGATATCTTTAACAAAAATTCAATCCAAGTGAAACAGCCAAGACAGTATTCAATTACTCTCACAAATTGTTTGAAGCTGTTGCTGCCTAGGTAGCACTTTGACAATATATTTGGCATGAATTATGAATAAGATGAAATATGAATAAGGGGGGGGAGCTGCCTAGGCAGACTGAACCGATCTAGGCTCTTTTTTGTTTTTAAATTTTTAACAAAAGTTTATGTCACCTTATACATACACCATTTATATTGCACAAGAATAAGTTGATATCGTCATGGACAATATGTAGCTCCTTTGAATCAATATCCATCCAGGTGATTGAAATGGAATCATTCTTTTCCAATTAACTAGTAAATAAAGCATGAAAAATAATATCAGATACATAGGTATTTAGCTTCCAAAATCAAAGTTGAACGAAGCCTTCTGCTAGTCACATTCTATAGTATCGCTTTCACCAAAAGTTTATATTGCATAACTGATCAAATTTAATGAAAGAGTTCAATTTCTTCTGCTAATTTCATCTACGTCCAACTATTGTATTTGGTTCAAAGCATCGATATGTCCTTCCTTCAATAGTTTCAAGGAAAAACCAAACAGAAAGGTTAAATGACTACTATATACCTTCACAAGTCTATCTAAAAGATGTGCAGCACTTTGCACATTTGCATCTGAGTCTGCCGAGAGTTTGCACAAAGCATCAAATATTTGATTGAAAAACACAATAAAATCTCCTCTTACAACCTACAAAGTATCATATATCATAAAAATGAGATGAAAATGGAAATTAAAAATGAGGTAATATTATAATTGTACATAAAGTAGGTGCTTCTTTCACCTTGGCTATGTTATAGAGAGCTTCACAAGCATAATAGCGAACTCTGCTATCTTGATCAGAAAAGGAGGTGAGGACTGGCGGTACAATTTGCTGGAAAATTGCATTAGAAGTGGCATAAAATCCATCAAGATGAATATATTCTCAGTGCAACCCAAAACATTGCTTGTGTAGGAGTAATTTGTGTGTGTGTGTGTGCGGAATAGGTAACACTTCAATCAATTCATGAATGAGCGCTAAGTTATTAACAGGATTTTAAAAAATCCAAAAAATTTAGAAATAAAGGCATGTGTAATCATAATAACTATGTAATTTTGAATCTACCAGTTGAAAGTCGAAACCATTGATACATATTTCTTTTCAGCATCGATTTAAACCAAACTCTTATAAATGTGATTGTACACACACACATGCAGGATTAATTATATTTTTGGTCCCTGTAATTAATGCTAATCTGTATTTTAGTACGTAAAAACTTGCAAAATACTTGCTTTTTTCCCGTCTTTAGTTTTTTTTGTTATGTGGTGGCGTGGTTGACAGAATGCAACCTGAGTGCAACATCCTAATATTATAAAAGCTTGGGTTTGTTCCTCAAACAGTTTGACTAGTTTTAAGTCCCAGGCTAACACAGTTGGACTGACCCAGAGAGATAGACAAGTTGACAACAAACCATTTCCATATCCGGATGGAAGGTTAAGGTGGAATACTGGGGTATTGCATTGGCAACTTCAGTGCACTTAACACAAAAGACTAACCATAGGGACCAACTTTGGTGGGGTGGGGGGGTACTAGAACCATTTTGAAAACAAATAGTGCAATGAATAAAACAAAAATGAGCATATATTTTAGTGACTAAAACATAACTAAAACAATATAATCTCTAAAGTTTACACTTCGGCTTCACAGAGTTGAAAGGTGTTAAGAAGTGTACAACAACCCAGTTGGATACCACGAAAGTAGGGTCTAGGGATGTTAAAAAGTGTGTGGCTAGAATTTGCTTAGATAAAAGAGAAATATTATGAGCCATGTACTCCTTCCCCAAAGAGGAAGTAGGAGAAATGTAAAGTTTGTTTTAGGATGAATGAAAAGGAAAGTATAAACTTTATTGGGGGGACATATGGAGCATGTAATTAATCATATGCATATGTGTACGCTTGTGTGTGTGTGTATCATACACACACATGTGAACGTTTCACTCTTAGAACATCACAAACGAGCTTTTGGGTATATCAACTATCAAGGTATGCACTTTCCATAAAATAGAGTGGCAAAAGTTGCACTTCATTACAAAAATAACAAAAAATTGTTTTAAAATTTTTGAACATTAGATTGTCAACTAAATGAGCCATGTTCGTTCTCATTTATCACACAAGCATCCGCTTCTCATTTGATCATTTACACACACAGTGTCATTTGGTACAATGTCATAATCCGCAATTAGAAAGAGAAGAATACAAATTATGCTCCACCCACCCTCTCGCATTGTAAAGTTGTCAAACGTATTGGATACGCCAATTAAGAAAGTAAAATTTTGTGCTTAAGATCTATTTAGAGAAGGTAAAAACAATATCACTCACGCAATTGTATCATTAAAAGGTATTGAAACCTTATTTTGGGACACCATAATAAGGCTAGTGACAACCTCAAATTGGTAGGGAGGGAGTAATGTTACATAGTATAAAACTATTGAGTCTACACCATACTTTAGATATTACATATGTACCCATCTCTTGGTAAAAGAATTTTGCCACGTGTGTGTAGGCTGTACAGAGGATATGAACTTAGATAGGGGCTTCTAGAGATCTAGGACTAGAGTAGTTGGTAGTTATTTGCTTTTTGTTGGGTTTCTTTTGAACTTTTTGCTGCTCTAGTCTGCGTACATTTCTTGCCTTTAGTTTGCTTTTTTTTCTTTGTACCGTGTTATGTGTTTTTTGTGTTGCTTGAGTTGGGGGTCTTTGGAAGGAGCCTCTCTATTTCTAGTAGGGGTAAGGTCTGCGTACACACACCCTCCCAGACCCTAGTTATGTGGGATCCTACTAGGTTGTTGTTGTGTGTAGGTTGTGATTCTAGTAAGAAGTGCACTTTCCATGCATACATGTTAATCTTCACTAATGGTTATCATGATGTACTAATTTACTATTATGTTTGGCATAGTGCATTTTTGTTATGGAAGACAGTTCCATCTGATAGCAAGTCGATAATAACATACTTAACCATGAAAAACCTAATGACATGTAAATGTTGAAGCAATGTGCGTTCTTATAGAACTTTAAAAGTCAAGAGACTCTGCATATTATATATATTGGAACACTTCTCAAATAGTTAGTAGGATAACAGCCTCTCTACTCTCGAGTAGAGGTAAGGCATGCGTACACACACCCTCCCAAGACCCAACTCGTGGAGGATTCTACTAGGTTGTTGTTGTACTTCTTGAATAGTTTGTGGCCCTTCACTAAGCCACTTGCACACAGCACGAACTGCTAATCCTATTGACTTGCTCTTCTCAATGGGATTAAAATCCTTAATCAATTTCTCAAGCATGAACTACCTAAGCATATTTTAAAAAAAGGAATATGCATTGCCCATAAGTGCTGCTGAGTATATGATATGAACTCTTAAGGATGCTCAAACCAGTATAATAATCTGTGATTAACTAGAATATCCTAAGCAGGCAAAAATATAAATTCAACAAAAAATGAGAACTATAAACTTGAACATTGCATCAATGCCCACCTCAAGATGTTGTGATGCTTCTGAGGTCAAACCAACAGTTGCGGCAGCTAGCCCTATCAATCCTCCCTAAGCAAATATCCAACATGAATCAATCATGAATGCACAAGAAAGCAGAAATAAACCAAAAACCAAAACCATGGGAAAAACTTACTTTCCTGTTATTTGCTTGGGGCGAATAGGCATACTCATGTGCCAACAAATTGATCACCGATGTAATCTTGTCATGATCACCAGCAGCTGCCAATTGCTTCACAATCCCTTCCAACTGTACAAATCCAACAAAATAGTCAAGCTATCGGGAAAGGAATAAGAAACATACAACTTGCACTTTCAGAATCCCATCGTGTAAAGAACCAAAATATGTAAAAGGGTACCTCGAGAGCAGCATTCTTGCGCTTTTCGTAGAGCTTATCGGAGAGGTTCCGCAGAACCGCAGCAGGGACGACAGTCAAAGCCTTAGCCACGGACATTGCCTAAAATTGTCCTGAAAACCCTAGAAAGATCAATCAAATCCGCTTCCTGGTCTTCACTTGCAGAAATCGAAACATCTTTCGTCACCCCCAATCTAATAAATTATCATACACAATGCGAAGTAAGAACATGCAGCAGTCTGCAATAACTACAGGAGATCTAATCGCTTCTGCAAAATTGCAAATGAGTTCATTCGCGATTTATTGTAATTTCATATTGATTGATCATTTGATTGAAAAACGTATAATTACTCCGTGTTTCTAATATTTTCCCTTTGGTTTCTATTGTTTGTAGTTTTGTGCTGATATGGAAGCACAGGGCGAGAAATTTTGAACAGTACGTGATTTTTCTCAAATGAAAAAACTTGCTGGGGACTGGGGTTGCATTTTTCACTGGGGTTGTAAGTGGTTTGGAAAATTGGCATTAATATCCTTTCTATTTTCAAAACTTACTTCTAAAGGCTTAATGGTTTCAAAATACTGCACCCGTGCCCCCTCTGATCATTTTCCGGTCATTTTCCGGCGAAGAAAGGGCATTTGCGCATAATTTTTAAACCATAGGGGGCATTCGTGCTCATTTTTTATTTTTCGTTTATTATTTGTGTTTTCCTTTTTTTAAATATTTTCTATCTCTTTTTCCTTTTCCTAGATTTTTTCTAATTTATTTTCAATTTTTCATAATGTTTTAAAATTTTAAAAAAAAAATTTGAAATAAAAACAAAAAAAAATTAACATACATTGCATCTATTTCAAATTAAACATTTTCACCTTTTGTTACGTACTTATTTGGAAAGTTCAAAAAGAAAAACCTAAAATAAAAAATAAAAATATGGAAAAATAAAATAAAAATAAAAATACACAAAAAAAGTGTGATACAAAAAAAATGGACAAGCCTAAAAAAGTCCTTAAAATTGAGATGTTCGAAAAAGATATTCATTTTTATTTTTTTATTATTTTTTGCTTATTTTATTCTTCATTTTTTTGAAATTCTCAAAAAAAAAAGTTTACTTTTTTCAGAAAAAACAAAAATTGTTGATTTGAGAAGTACATATACATTATATGTTAATTTTTTCAAATAAAAATACTTTAAATTTTATGAAGATTATAAAAGTAATTTTAGAAAAACCTTTATTAATAAAAGAAACAAATAAAGGAAAAAATGGAGAAAAATAAAAGAATAAGCGAGAAATAAATATCAGCACCGATACCCCCTGTGGTTTAGTAAATATGCACCAATGCCCCCCTTCTTCGCCGAAAAAATGGCCGGAAAATGATCAGAGGGGGCACGGGTGCAGCATTTTGAAACCACAAGGACTTTAAAAATAAGTTTTGAAAACAGAGGGGGTTTTGGTGCCTATTTTGCAAACCACGAGGGGTACTGGCGCTATTTGGCCATTTTTTACCTAGAAAAATTTTGAATAAATACTTCCAAAAATTCATAATTTTACATAAATACTCCTAAATTTACTAATTTACATTATTATTTTTAGAATTGTCTCATATTTATATTGTTACTCTGGCGCTGCGTAGTCATCATGTGTGTTGTTCTTTTATTAAAACAATACAAATATGAAATAATTCTGAAATTAATGATGAAAATTGATGAATTATGATCTATTGGAAGTATTTGAGTGCTTTTTTATTTTATCTAAGAGTTTACACTTTTTGAAGAACTAATGATTATTCTTTGTAAATTAAAATTCAGGAATTATAAGAGTTGGGAACATTGTTGGTCAGTGTCCAGAGACAGTGCTTCCGATTTTTTGTATAGGCGCTATAAAATGAAAAAAATTAAGTTTTGATTTATTGAATGTGAAATTTTTGTTTAAAGGGATGTTAAATTTTATATTATGAACAATTAATTATATAAAATATAACACACTTTATTTAAAAAAAATAAACAAAAAAGGAATTGCCTAATTAGATGGGATCTCCTCAATTTTAGTTGAGGGTCCAATGTACATGAAGTTAAAATTATTACTCGTATTTTTTTACCTTAGGACCAAAATTTAGAAGGGGCATTGGCCCCAACTCTTTCAAGCTACATCCTCATTTGTAAGGAAGTTATATTAAATTAACGAGATAATAAAGTCTAGGAAAGGGACAGTATGCAGATTCTTTATTCTGGGGCTTCGTATCATATCACTCCATACATGGAGTGGTTTTCAACTTATGAGCAAATAAACGGGGGTAATATTTATAAGCCCAATGATGTTGTGTGCAGTGTAGTTGGAATAGGCTCCATTAGATTAACGACTCGTGATGGATATTTTACACATTAAATGAAGTTAGGCATGTTCCACTTATGACAAAGGATTTGATACCCTTAACTCATCTTGACATCAAGGATTTCAGTTTCCAGGGAAAAGGTGGAGTTGTGAGTGTGTACAATGATTAGAAGGTGGTTCTGAAAGGTATTAAAAGAATAAAAGTTGTACCTTATAACTTCTACAAGGTTCTACTGTGGCATGTTTAGTTGTTGTTGCATCATTTGAGATTCTTAAAGGTGATGAAAGTCTTGATGTTAAGGTGAAGGTTCCATTTATGCAGAATGAGACTCTCAATTACTTTGAATAATTACCTATATTTGATTTGCTTCTGCCATGCGCCCCTAGAGGGGGAAATTTGGACTTTATGTGGAGTTGTATTGGTTTGTTTCAGCTTGAGGTCTTCGTCATTAGGCGTTCAGTAATCTGTTTAGTGTGTTGAGACACTTCTGTACTCGAGTGGAACAATTTATTTTTCCTATATTGGTGACACCCATGTCTTATATATGTTGGACTTGTGGTACCTATATTTCATCAGGTCTGGTTTGTCACTTTTTCCTCCGCTCTTACCTTAATTTCTTCCTCAAACGACGATCTGCATCAAGAAGAGTATGTTATGATTTTTGCACGAAGTTCTTTGCATTCTTGAAAGCTCATTTCAATGATTATCAAACGAGATTTCTCCTCTTGACTAATCAATTCAATGTCTCATGAATTTGCTTCCTTTCAACTCACTAAAGTAGATGACCGGCCTGCAAGGCGATATCTGCCTGCACGAAGGAGTGCAATGAAAGCTAAGCGAAAGATGACTACCAAACATAACGCGAAAAAAAATAAAGATGTATCAAAGGATACCTACAGCAAAGACACCGCCCATAACGTCTCCTCCAACAATGAAGAAACCCTTCAGTTGACTCGTCATCCCGGAACCAGTGACTTCTACTAATAAATTATCCGCTCACAAATAGTTATAGCTATGCAAGTAATGTCAAGAAAACGATCTAGTTGTCTTCGTTAACACAACCTAAAATGTTATTTTGTTAAGAGCTTATAATGAATAAAGGTCCGTGAGTTATTTCAATCACGATTTTATACGTATTCATTTACAATTATCTACAACTTGTAATAGATGAGCCTACTCGAGATCGATGAAATGTGCTTAATGCCAAAGACACTACTGTTAGCTATAAGCTTAAGTGAATGTCACTTATACCACAGGGCTGTATTGTCGAGTGTGCATCGCGAACCTGGAATCTCGTCGTAGGTGTTGACAACCTAGTAGAGGTAATATACGAATAAACTTGAACTTGGAAACCATGTCAAGTGAATGAAGTGAGTATGGTTCGGAGAAGGAATGCAACTAACACATATTCAAACATGACATATGCGCTAGACGCAACGTAATGAAAGACATTAGCTCAAAAATTAGATTCATGATGTGACACTAATCTCGAATCGAGGAGTTCTCAGGGAAAAGATTCATTGCTTACATCTCGGGGTACATGTGGGTTACGTTGGATCACTACAAGAAAATTGCTGATTTGCAACGGAAAAATTTCGTGGCCGAATCTGAAATTCCGTGGCAGAGTTCTATTCTGCGACGGATCTGCTACGAAAATTTTTCGTCGCAGAAAAGTTGTGGCAGATTTAATATCTGTGACGGAATTTACAATCCGTGGCAGATCTGGGACGGACCTGTAACGGGATTTTCATTTTTTCATCAAACAGAATCTGCGACGGAAATAAAGAACTGTCGCAAATCTGCGACGGACTCAACAACGGAACCATCCGTCGCAGATCAGCGATGGAAATAACAATGGCCCTTTCCGTCGCAGATGACCTGTTGATAGAACCAGAATTTTCCTGTTTTTGGCACTAGCTATTAAAATGGGGGGGCAAAACACATTCAATCTTCACACACATAATTCTAAACAAGATTTCAACACCCAAATTGATAATTCAAAGCTAAATTAATGCAAACTTCAAGTGCGAATGTAACATAATTCATTATGTTCTAACAATAGATATTAAAGTGTTAGTGTCAAGTGTTCAAAATGGAGGAAGCTAAGGTCGTAAAGGTCTCAACAAATCCCGGGCTGCCCTGCCCCTCCCGTTCCATCATCATCGCCTCATCAAGGAAGGTTACCACCATATAGCTTCCTTATCTCCTCCTGAATCGTCAGCGACAAGTTTGAGGGTAGACTATCAATTTGTTCCTGCAGTCTTTGGTTTTGCTCTTTAAGTGTTGCCATCTCCGCTGTACTTCTACTACTCGTGCTGGAACGGCGAGGTTTGGAGGACGAATTCATCTTCCTCATTTCCCGCTCGTAGTCACTAACTCCAGGAACGCAGTTCTTTGCATTATGGCCATCAACTAGCGAGTACCATATTTCTTGGTCGGTGACTTGCAGCCCTTTCTGTCTAACCTCCTCGTATAGTTCGAAGAATTGCGCCTAAAATACATGATAGTTAATAACACACAACAACAACAACGCAATAATAATAGCGTCAAAAACAACAAGAAAAACAACAAGAACAACAACAAGAACAACAACAAGAACAACAAAAACAACACAAGAACTTAACAACTAACATTACCATGGATCAATAACAATGTAACATATACCTAGTGTTAACAGCACCATCAACGCTACAACAAAAACAAGTTGTCATAAGACAACAACACCATCAACGCAACAACAAAAATAGTGTCATACGACAATAACACCACCATCAACGCAACAACAATAGTAACAACACGATTAGCAATAACATCAACAACAAGAATAACGTCAACAAGAATAATATAATTCATGCACACAAGCTAAGATAGTAAATACAGTATCACCCTTTAGAAGTTTCAAGACAAAAGCACCAACATTATGAACATGAACACAAACTATTTTGCGCATTACAGAAACTACCTGTAGCTCAGCATGTTCAGGATCCACCCAAGTCTTGCCGTTGTGCTTCTTTGTCTTTCTGTGGATGATAACCTCATCTAACGACACAGGCCCCCCTTTAATTTCTTCTTAGCCTTCATGTTTCAATGAACATGTCCATTAAATTTTACATTTAATGTCCACCAAATAACAAGTGCAAAGCTATTATTTTATAAAATATATCTTACCAATCGATTCATATTTTCAGAAAATGGAACTGAACCTCCAAAATACGTCCCAAGAGCAGGACCATCCTCTTTTCCCTTCATTCTGTTCTTCTTCTTAGTCTTACTCAACTCTGGAAACTCCGGATCTTCTTCCCAAACCTATACTTGTATATTTCATAAAAATTACTTGTACATAGCGATACAATTTTGTATAAAAACTATTACTAATTTACCTTCTTCAACTGCTCAAATGGCCTCGGGTCCTTCTTCTTCTTCTTCAATCGACTTAGGTTCCTTTGATTGTACGTAAAATTCACGTACCGTTCAACAGGTTTCTTGAGAAAAGCTTTCCACAGGCTGCCCTCATCGATTGACGGATCCACTATAGCATTTTTCTACATTGACATCATGGAAAAGCCAATAATTTAGATTGTATTCACATATATTAATTTTCTTGTGATCAAAAGAAGTTAAAAAATAATTTTTTCAAAAAAACCTTGAACTCTCGATAGTAGAACTCCTTCGTCGTCGCTGAGACTTTGCCCCACGACATGCTAGTTGTGTCCGTCCTCTCATAGAATGCCGGTGTGATAAAACCAGCACCAGCTCTAGTGATTGTAACCCTACAAACATATATAAGTTGTGAACATAAAATCGTTAGGTATTTGTAAATGTTTTATGTCATACCATAATCTTCAAATGTACAGAGTACTTACTCGTCATCCGAATTGACATACACGAACTGACCCTGATGACCGGGACCCTCGTGATATCCACCCTCCTCGTCCTCGTGATCGCGGTCCTCGCCATCACGAGCCCCACCACTGTGTCCATCGCGAACGCGGTCCTCGAAAATGTGGTCATCGCCACCTCCGTCCTCCTGATCATCAGTACTCTCCCCGACCCTAGATGTTATTTACACAATAACACAATAATACATGCATTAAAAAGAGCTATTAACAAGCGTAGACATTGTTTCAGTTTCTTGATAAATGAAACGTCACTCTAATGGCTTATCCGTTGGAAATTTTACTACATTAGTCTCTAAGAGGAGAGCTACATACCTAACGTACAAGGGCCAGATGGCGTAGTACGTGGGGTGGAGGGGGATACCTGTGTGTCAATGAATGGACTCGAGGAAATAGAGGGAGTGCCTGTGGATGTAGTGGTTGTGCTCGATCACTGGCGAGAAGAGGGTCTCTATCTACCAATGACGGACCTCCTCAAACGTGCCAACACCTCTCTATCAGTCGACGTGGGGGGAGGGGGGTTCTCATTATCGCTCATCTGTACAGAAATAAAAATATTGTATAGTTAGCTCATAAAACAAAATAAATTTCATATAGAAAAATATATATCAATATAAGAAACATTTGGAAACACGTTTACTCGTCATTCTAATTTCACTCGCTCTCTGTTGAGTCTTGTTCTTCTTTTATTGAGTCATCGGAGCTTAAAATTGGTTCTTCATCTTTTTCTTCAGCATTACTATCATCGTCGGCGAAATTAGCATCTCCCTCACGTGATAGAGTAATGATATCATCGTCTTGTTTCACTTCCATGATTGTGGTTCTCTCAGTTCCATTTGCTTGAAAAGGTTCCTGTTGCTCCTTGTCTACTCATTCTAGTGTATTTTCTATGTCAATCCAGTTAATTACCTCTAGGGTGAACCTGGTACACTGCAATCCAATCACTCTTAGTCTTTTGCGTGCAAGGGTATTCCACATACACAACCTGGTTTGCTTGTGCCCCAAAAATAAAAGGCTTGTATCGGTTAAATTCTCCCTTTTTAAGCACCTCAAGTAAACCATACTTCATGTGTACTCGTGTCCCACGATTCAACCTCGGATCAAACCATCGACATTTAAACAAGACACAATGTTTAAGTGGCAAAGCTGGATACTCAATTTCAAGAATCTCCTCTAATACCCCAAAGTAATCGCCATATTCTCCTTTAATAGATACCCCAATGTTATACACCGCACGCTTTGAACCATGTTTTACTGTGTGGAAGCAGTAGCCGTTTGCAAAGTATATTGGGTATGACTTGGCAAATGATAAGGGACCCTTGGCCACATCACTGATTATTTCCGTGACAGACCTATCATTCTCGACCTGAAGATGAATCGAAAATAGTCATGCACATATGCATTACCTCACATATATTACGCATAAAAAGAAAAAAAATAACTTTACATATTTTTCGAACCAACTTGCGAACGTCTCTTCCACATGTTTCAGCAGGGATTCTTCACTAATATGTGATTTAGACTCTTTAATTTCATTTGCGCACAACCTGACATACACTTGTTAAATCTCTATGGGTCTATTACAAACCAATATTTGTATTCTATGACAAGCAAATTTAGCTACTTACGTAATATAAGGATCAATCTCTGGACAATTGAAGAGTATGTAATGGTGTGCGGCTTTTAGCTCCTCTGTAGTTAGTTGCCTCTTACGCATTTTCCCTTGTAAACGTCCTGGAGTTTGAAATATGTCAAAAATATCTTGATTTGTAACATCAACACCTTCTCGTGATTCGGGGTCATTACGAGGCACATTTCTTGCTCGCGTGTAAACGTGTTCTTCAAAGTAATGAGAGCAGAAGTAGGATGCCTCTCGGACTAAATACGCATTGGCTATGGAACCGTCTACGCAAGCCTTATTTTTCACCTTTCTTTTAAGGCGATTGAGGTACCTACAACCATATCAAAGCTTTAGAAACATATACCCAATAAACTTTGCAATTCAAAATTAATACTTTTGAAAGTACCTCTCAAACGGATACATCCACCGGTATTGAACTGGCCCAGCAACCCGTGCCTCGTATGGTAAATGAATGGGGAGATGTTCCATACTATTAAATAACCAAACATATTTAAAACATTAATTAAAGAAACTTACAACTTCCAGAAAAGCGAAATTGGAACAGAACTGGATCTGAAACTCCAAAAATATACTAAAACTACGAATTTAGTATATTAGGGATGTGAATTGAAATTAGGGTAGTAGGAATGTAAGAAAAATAATTATGTAGGAATATTAAATTTAATTAATTAAAATGTTAAGTTGCTAGTAATTGTTGTATGTTCTAATTATTTAATCTGGCCAATTTATTAGTTAATCCTTGAAAAATTATTATGGCCATTTGTCAATGAATGAGAAAAATAATTTAGTCAATCAATTCTAGCACATTAATAATGCCTAGAGATAGGATAAAATTAATGGAGTTAATGTGACAGAATTACTCACTAGTTAAATTAATTAGTTAATTTAATAATCCAACTAGTTAAAATATCTAAAAAATTCCTACTACCTGAAATCAATTCATATTCCCTTTTTTATCAAACAAACATTTTATTACTTTGTCCAACTCATTTTTGAATCTAAACCACAAATACCTTTCGAATTTAGAAGACTTCTAACACCAATGAGTAAAACTTTGTCTAACTAGATTTTAATAGAAAATTTATTTTAACACCAATCCACGTGAATACAATACGGGAATAAATTGATCTCTTTTGGAGTGAAATTTACTACCGCTAAAACTCTTTCATCAGGTTCGTCTATCTTGAGGAACTCTATGACTGAATTTGATATTATGATAATAAAAAGTAAGCTATGTGGAGCTTGTTGGGTCCAATGGCTAAGCGGGTAAAAACATATGTACGGGTATCCTTGAACTTCCTTGTGATCCATCATGGGGGGATCGGATTCCACTCACCCAATGGAGAACACCTTCATTGGTTGAGCATGACTCGCTGATCCAGTGGAAATCATCATGACTCTAAAATATAGTAGTAGTCCTTAGTGTAGATTAGATTATTGAACAAGTTCTTGGTGATCCACCAACCTCGAAGAATCCATGCATAGTTTTGTCGAGAATGGAATTGTGCGAGTGTCACGTAAATTATGTGAATGTATATGTTGATTGCATGATATCACATGTCGTTTATGAATTGTGGATTCACTTATTGTTACATTGGCGTTAGATACTTCTCATTCAGTGTCATTGCTGAGCGTTTAGTTGGTTCGTTTGCTGCACATAGGTAACCAAGGACACGATGAACCTAGAACCAACCTCGTAGGGCAACGAGGAGGAAGAGATGTTGGCTGAGTTGAGTGAGTATATTTGCAATTAACTACTATTTCTGAATAACTTATTATGTTTTTGGGCGTGAGTCTCAAGTTGTGTTTAGATAAATAAATTAAGCTTTCGCATTGTTTGGATTTCTACTCCGATGATGGATTTCATTATAAGAACTGTTTGGATGCTTTAAATTATTTTGTAAATATTGTATGTTTGGATACTAGATTAGTAACAATCTGGTTCGCTAACCCATGTATTCAGGCTATGCGGGTTGGGTATTAAAAATCTAGTGGTTAGTTAAACCTCAAGTACCCGAGTCTCTCGAAAACTAGATTTACTAATATGTGAACTAGAATAAAAAGTTTTGTGTTCGTCATTCGCTCTTTGAATTTGACACATTATTTTATTCTCACTTTGTGTGATTCTGTAAAAATGTTACAACATTCATAACTTTATTTTTCCCTCTATTGGTTATACATTCTAATATGATAATTTCACATTTCGTCACACTGTAAACTGTAATTTGATCTTTCGTTTTGGAAAAAATTAACCTTTTAAAATAGTTAGATAAAATGCATTTAGGCAACAAAGTTGAATGAAAATTTATTTATTACTCCTACTCTAGTAACTCTACGCAGCTTCTATCCTGCAGACAGTTATACCCATGTTTGGTCGACTCAAAATAAATATTAATTTGGTATACTTAGCCCTAAGTACACGTGGTTGTATGGTATACATCCTCATAATTCAATAAATGTAGCGATGACTAAAAATTAAAAAGGAAAAAAAACTTTTGAGCAGGTAAAGTATCACGTAGTATGGGTCTATATAGGAGGAAAAATTCACCTAATTGGTTTGAGAAGATAATCTTTTGGGTTGGAAAAAGTACCCTTCAAATGTTTCCAACTAGTTTCTTTCAAACTCTTAATTTCTTTCAACGATTTAGAAAGATATTTATATATGATATATAAACAATAATATTATATATCCAAATTTATAATATACTACTTCAAACATGAACATTGGTGAATTTATTATCCAAAATTAAAATTTCTCTACATATTTCCTTGAATAATCATTTATCTGAGTGACTTCTTAACGCTTTGACTGTTACCACTTAACCACATTTTTTAACTTTTTCCTGATTTTTCCAACTCCTTCAAAATTTTTCCAACTCCTTCTAGTTTCTTTGAATAACGACTTAAAAAGGTATTTCTATAGACTAAATTTTCATAGTCCTTTCAGATAAGGTGTTATCTAAATTTGTCCTTAGTAAGTAATTATTATCAACATGATTCTTTATAATTTAGATTTATTTCCTAAATAGACCTCTGTAAAAATTGTATATTAAATGAGAGTTAAATGAAAGGTATTTTGATATTTTTATCATTTAGATTTAAAATATGTATCCAAAATGTTCCTTTATAATTAATTGTTTTTTTTCAAAATGGTAATTTCTAAGTATTTTTCCGAAATGGAGTCCAATAGTTGACCTGGGGTGGGTCTGTTACTCTAGCAACCACCCACTTAATTTGAAAGGACCATTTTGAAGACTCGTTCATAATTTAAATGATGAAAAATACCGAAATACCCATCATTAAACTCTCATTTAATAGACATTTTTTTACAGAAAACTATTTAGGAAATACATCTCAATTGTAATGGATCATATTGGTAATTATTGCTTATTAAAGACTAATTTGGAAAAACGTCTTATTAGAAGAAACCGTTTTGGGAATTCACTCTATTTATATATGAAGAATATACAATAACATTATATATCTAAATTCACTCTCTTACCCATCTTCATCGTCTCATTCCAGCGGAAGAAAAAACATTCTCTCGCCTTTCCTACTCCATCGCGTGAAATACGCGATTTCTCAGATTTGTTCAATGATTTATCTTCCATCTTCATCCCAGATCTATCGCCGATGCAGGTCAACTCACAGATCAACAATCCATCTTCGCAAAGGAAAGTCTGCAAATTAGGTAGGTTTGTTTCGATTTTTTTTGGGTATTTATGTATTGTGGAGCAAAATCCGGTCTTGCGATTGCATTTCTTTCCAAAATGTTTTTGAAATTTTTTATCTTTGAAAAAATTAAATCTCAAATGATACGGAGTCATTCCATCGGTTCAAAATTATCTGTTTTTTTTTTGGATTTTCGATTTGAAATATGTTTAATTCCAAAAAATTTCCTTCACATGTATGTAAAGTATTTAATTATGGTTCATTCTTCACGATTCTTATATGTAAAGCTATTTTGGACGGAAATTACTTCTTGTAATCATTCCTACATTTCTTATAAATAATTTTTCTTAGTTAAAAATTCCACAGCACCACTATTTTTTTTCATTCAAATGTTTTCCCTTATTCCTCCATAACACATTTTTACGCTCACATGACTATCTATCCTTTATCAAAAATCAATCCAACGAGTGAGTGCTGGAGAATCATAGTTTGTGTCATAAGACTATATACTTTACCTCTATATAGTAATGAGAAGACGATAAATTCTATCGAGATAGTGTTCATGGACGAACATGCAAGTCAAGGAATAATTTATAATTTTTCATATGATTCTTATTATGTGTATATACGTTATTCATTTCTATTGATAAAATGTAGGCCATATTTTAGGTGAAAGGCTGATAGAGGTTCATTCGAAAACTAACACTATGCCCAAAGAATGCACTGTTTTTTTAAACATTTTTAAACTATTTTTAATGATGTTCTTTAAATAAATGTTGTTTAATGTGTTTGATCCAAAGGCTTTGAGCACATCAATTAGCTGAAACAACTGAAATAAATAGTGTTTGATGTGTTTGATCCAAAGGCTTTGAGATTAGAGATATTGAAGTGAGTAGCTGTTTGTTTTTCTCAAAGATAGAGACATCACTTCCTCACTTATTTCACATCTATTGATGTTGACTTTATCTTATTTTAAAAAAATTACTTCATGTTAAGATTATAAGTAACCAATGTGGCATTACTGTTTGAAAAAGTCACATGACCCGAAAACTGAAGAACCGAAATAGAACCGAACACCCGAAATGATCCGATCCGAACCTAACCGAATGTATTCAAACCCGATTTAGATTCGAATCCAAATTAACCCGAACCAATTAGATCCGAACCGCTTAAACCCGAAATCGATTAAACCCAAAACCGATTAGACCCGAAATTGATCAAATTTATTAAAATTTCATTTATCAAATGAACTTGGAGAAAAAGGAATTACCGATATATTTTTACATATGTTGATGTCTTTCTAAAAAATATGTATATTAAAATTATGAGTGCAAACCGTGCAACTACTTTCATGTACAAAACTTTTACTCCGTATTTTATAACTTAAGTTAAAGTATTTTTGTATTTTATGGTCTTCGTGTTGGGTTTGTGGAGGCTTGGGCTTGACTTTTGGCCCGGCCCATTTTACGAAACCCTAGATGCACTCTTCCTATATATATTGCATACTTGTACTTGTAATCGGCACCACAAGTGAAATAAGAAAATCCTCCTGTTGCAGCCGTGGATTAGGGAAACCGAACCACGTTAAATTCTTGTGTGTCGTTTGTGTTCCGTTTCTCTCGTTTCTCTTAGATTATTTGTGTGTGTTGTGTGTTTATTTCCNATAACTTAAGTTAAAGTATTTTTGTATTTTATGGTCTTCGTGTTGGGTTTGTGGAGGCTTGGGCTTGACTTTTGGCCCGGCCCATTTTACGAAACCCTAGATGCACTCTTCCTATATATATTGCATACTTGTACTTGTAATCGGCACCACAAGTGAAATAAGAAAATCCTCCTGTTGCAGCCGTGGATTAGGGAAACCGAACCACGTTAAATTCTTGTGTGTCGTTTGTGTTCCGTTTCTCTCGTTTCTCTTAGATTATTTGTGTGTGTTGTGTGTTTATTTCCCAACAAGTGGTATCGGAGCCAGATTGTTCAACACGAGAACACAAATGGCGAGTTGTCACCTAAGGTTTTTTTTGGGAATCTATGTGCGTGCAACTGATAAACGGAAGGGGCTGTCACTGTTGACCCTGTTCTTCATCGGAGGTGGTGAGATCTCGTAGCAGGTAGGGAATACTGCCGCCGCCGCTCGCTGAGTTCACCGTAGATTTCCCCTGTCCGGAGAGGGTGAGCAAACCACCGCCACCATCGAAGTAGCTACATGCAGAGGAGATCTGCCGCCGCCAGGTTGAGGAGCCGCCGCGAAGCCGCGCCGCCACCGTCAGATCAGATCAGATCGCCGCCGCTGGAAAACTGAACGCGGCAGGAGCGAGAGAGAAGTTCGTCGCACAGGGAGGCGCCGCCGCACCGAGATCTGAGACTGGAGACGCCGTCGAGCTCCCAGATCACCGCCGTCGTTTGCGCACAGACAGTCGCACGCAGGAGCAGCGGCAGAAGGAGCCGCCGCTGTCGGGAACCGTCCGTCGAGATCGCTAGCTGCGAGCCGTCACCGCCGTCTAGACTTTGTGCCGTCGCCGTTGTTTTGCTGTTGCCGACTGTTGCCCTAGCGCACAGAACAGGACCCCGTTGAAAAAAAAAATCAGTGGGCCAAATTTGAGTTTTAATTGATTAGACATTTTTTGGGCTCAATTGGATTGAATTGGTTTGGGTCGTACTTTCTTGTGGGTGGATATTCGGCTGATTTGTTTTGACTAATTTAATTGGTGTGGTGGGCCTAATTTTCTGACGGAAAAATACCAAGATCTGAAATTAGTTTTACCGGGTATCTCGTCTAGTCGTTTGAGATAGCAGAAGATGGAATGTTCCGAATTGAGAAGTTCGATGGTACAGATTTCAGTTGGTGGAAGATGCAAATTAAAGATTTGCTGGTTCAGAAAGATTTGGACGTGGTTTTGGGTGACAAGCCAGAAAAAATGTCGGATGCAGATTGGGCAAGTTTGGATCGGAAAGCTATGTCCGTGATCCGTCTCTCGTTGACCAAGAATGTTGCGTTCAACATTCTGAAGGAGAAGACAGCGAAGGGAATTATGGACACGCTGTCTAACATGTACGAGAAGCCATCTGCAGCGAACAAAGTTTTTCTGATAAGAGAGCTGGTGAACACAAGGATGAAAGAAGACACTTCAGTTACCGAGCATATCAACAAGTTGAATTCGATATTAGCCAGACTTTTGTCAGTGGGCATTAAGTTCGATGATGAAGTTCAAGCTTTGCTACTGCTATCGTCTTTGCCTGATAGTTGGTCCGGAACGGTTACAGCGGTTACCGGTTCAGTGGGGCCTGATGGATTCACCTTTGATCAGATTCGAGATCTCGTTCTTGGCGAGGATGTCAGAAGAAAGAGTTCAGGGGAGTCATCTGGTGAATTAATTCATGCTGGTAGAGGCAGAAGAAATAGCAGAGGTAGTGGGAGCAAGAACAGACAAAGGAGTCAGTCGAAGACTCGTGACAGCTCAGGTGTAACGTGCTGGAAATGCAAGGAGGTGGGGCATTTTAGGAATCAATGTCCGAATGATAAGAAAGTAAACATTGCTCAAGGCTCTACGAGTGACGAGGAGGTCGCTCTGACTTGCTGTGAGGAAAGCAATGTGGATTCCTGGGTCATGGATTCTGGTGCTTCATTTCATGCCACCCACAGCGGTGAAGCATTGCAGAATCTGATTATTAGAGACTTTGGAAAGGTACGACTAGCGGACAACAGAGCTCTTGATGTGACGGGCATGGGTGACATAGTGCTGAAGACCCCAGTCGGTTTTTGGACTTTGAAGGATGTCAAAGTTGTTCTAGCCTTGAAGAAAAGTTTGAGTTCTGTCAGGCAGTTGGACGAACAGGGACACGAGGTGAAGTTCAGAGATGGGCAGTGGAAGGTTGTGAAGGGAAATCTTGTCATGGCTCGTGGAAAGAAGAGAGGTTCGCTGTATATGGTCGAGTTACCATCTGAGGGAGTGACCGTCCCAGTTCAGAAGAGAAACAAAGTCCGGTTCACAGAGTCTCATGGGCAGAATAAGGTTGTCTGTGCAAGAGAGAAACCTAGAGCCACTGGTCAGACTCAGGATGAACGAGCGTGGAAAGGTTCAAGGGGGCCAGTCAGAGGTATTTATGGCAGTGGGAGCTCAAGAGGCGCTTCAGCCAAGTTGCCTAGAAGACAGTGGGTCAGGAGAACCAGTATTCCAGTTGTTGGAACATCTCCAGAAAATTTCTTGCCGAGTATGGAGAGTGTTTGTTCTCAGGATGTTCAAGGATCCGGCATTGTGCGTCTGCAGTGGGAGCCGGTAGGGACCGAGGACGAGTCAGGGGCAGATTTTGCCGTGACTGATGTGTTGGAGCTTGGAAGAGCTTCAACGGGTCTTTCAGTTGTCTGATGTTAGGGCCGCTGCAATAGGAGAGCTGAGGAAGATTACTCGATGTACAGGGAATCGTGGTGGATGGCAGTTGATGACTATCAAGCCTCCAAGTGGGAGAATGTTGGGTTTGTGGAGGCTTGGCTTGACTTTTGGCCCGGCCCATTTTACGAAACCCTAGATGCACTCTTCCTATATATATTGCATACTTGTACTTGTAATCGGCACCACAAGTGAAATAAGAAAATCCTCCTATTGCAGCCGTGGATTAGGGAAACCGAACCACGTTAAATTCTTATGTGTCGTTTGTGTTCCGTTTCTCTCGTTTCTCGCAGATTATTTGTGTGTGTTGTGTGTTTATTTCCCAACACTTCGAACTTAAAGTTTGACCAACATCGTCTCTTCAAAAATATTAGAAAAAGTATTAAAAATAATACTCTTAAAGTGTTTTTTTATTACTAATAATTTGGTAATAACTTTTACTTTGTATATTTTAATTCATTATATATTTTTATATATATTTATTCAAATATTTGACATAGTGAAATGGATAGTGATAAGTTTGTTAGTTGTGCATATTTGAATATCTTTTGATGGATTTATTAACTTGGATTTTGATACAATTTGAGGCTTAATGGTGCATTGTTTCTTAAATACTCCGTATATGATTTTGGTCTAATTTGTGTCAATTGGTTGATTTTAGAATCCAATTCAGGTGGAAGGGCTGCATTGCAATTAAATTCAACTAAGGGGGCCAATCTCTTAATTTTCAAAGTACAATCTAATGTTGAATGGAAGCTCCAAACCCAACGCCTCTTCTTTTTTCGGCGGAAATCGGAGCAGGGACTGGCGACCCGACGCGCGACCCCGATGTGGACAGAGGCAACCACCAACAGCGGTCCAGCTCTGGCAGCGTCATCCTTCTGCGAAGGTGCCTAATTCCGACAACGGAGAGCCTTCAGCAGCCTCCAGCAACGACGACGGACGGTGAGGCTACCATATCTCCGACGTACTCCAGCGACGAACGGAAGACGCAGACCAGACCAAAGGAAGTTGCTGACTTCAGATTGAAAATGGGCAGTGAAATGACAATTATACCCCTGGTCCTTCTCTTCCTCAATTTTTAGCTTGTGTCCTTGTTAGTCAATTTACTCTTACTTTCTCCTACTCTATATATACTCCCCTAGCTCCAATTTGTAAGGGGAGCTCCCCCATTTACACCTTCATATTCTTAGACTAGGGTTTTCTTCATCATTCCATTTTAGTTTGGGAGCTCCAACTTTAGATATTATCTCTTTAATAGGGAGTATTATTTAGTTGTCTCTTAGTATTGATTTTTATTTCTTCATTTCGTTTATATCTTTACCTTATTTCTTACTCTTTTATCATTATGCATTTCTTAGTTTAAGCATGCTAGACTAGATTTTCTAGCCTAGGTTAGGAATGGATTGTTGATTTGTGCTTGTTGTTGATGAATTAGTCTGAAATATGAGATATTGCTCTAGGTTGTTTGTGGAGATTGATCTTATTGTTGCTAGAATGTTGTTGTTGGCCACGATGGCATTCTTGTATTTTGGAATAGATTTTAAATCACTGAGGAATCAGGATTTAGACTCCTCGCCTTCTGTCTCTACTCTCAAGTCCTACCACGGAAGTGGAGGATTCTTGAGGAGCTTGTTTGATGTGTTTGTAGTTCTCTTGAGACGAGCGCCACGGAAGTGAGTTCTTATCAAAGGGATTCTTTCTCGATTCTCATGGAAGTGAGAATCGAGGTGATTTGCTCACTTCCTTGTCGATTTCTCATCTTCCTCTATTTCGTTGGCAATTGCATTGATTAGCATGAAATTCCTAATCTAGGCTTGCTTTCATTTTACTCCCTGCATTTTATTTTAGTTTGTTTGTTGCATTATTTTACTTCATTGCACTTGCATTTCACTCACCCGCTACATTCCTAGGCCTTGATTCACGTTTAACAATTTGATATTAGTGTTAAGTTGCACATTGTACTCAATTCCTAATCAATCACGCTATCCCCGTGGATACGACATCCTTACTTCCACCACTATACTCATTCCACCTACTTTTCCACATTTCATTTTCCATTCTATTTCAATTCCACCTAATTTCTTTTTGATCGAGAGTCTTCAATATCAAACAACGTATCGAAAAATCTCTCGCATAAAAAACTTTAAATAGAAATAGAGGAAGTGCAAAGTAGAATGTTAACTTAAAAGGTCACGCCAAAAACTTTAGGAGGGAAAACTTTAGAATATAAACAATTAATCAATTATGTAAGTGTTATTTTTTTATGTACGTTCGTGTTAAATAATAAAATAACTACGGAGTATATCATAAATTGACTAAATTTATTATGTTATATTATTGATTTATTAGTATATATTTAAAATATACCTGAACCAATATAAACTACCTAAAACAATACAAACTCGAATCAATATAAACCTGAATCGATACAAACCCGAATCGATATAAACCCGAACTAATATAAACCCGATCTGATATAAACCCGAACTGAAACCGAATTGAAACAAAAAACCAATCAAACCGAAATAAACCCGGAACCAAACTGGCCCGAACCAAACCAACTCGATCCGATTAAAATATATATCTGAAAGAGACCCAAACTGAAAAGACCCGAACCCAAACTGAACCGATTGACCCGATTGTCAGGTCTTGGAATACTAAATTAAGACTTTTGTAGGTTTAAATATAATGAAATTTACTTTAAGATCTAGCCTAATATGGAAGGCTTCATGCCAAATTTACTTCCTATTACTTTTTGTGTGAAACCTTCAGAGGCTTTGTGCCAAATATTACACTGAGTAAACAATATTGTACATAACTCATTTGAGTCTGCATGTGAAGCGCTTGGATTATTAATCGATGATAAAGAATTCATCAAATGTATAAAGAGGTCGCTATCTTACGTTCAAGAAATCAATTAAGAAAGTTGTTTGTCATGTTGTTAGTGACAAATGCCATGAGTCGTCCGTGTGTTGTTTGAAAAAAAATGTGGGAATTATTGGCTTATGGGATTTTATTTGATCGTAGGAAATTTTTACGCAATCCAGGTAATGTAGTCTTTTTATTATTTAACTTATGTTAGTTTTTTCCATTTTTAGTTTTTGTCTATAAAAAAATTATTTTATTTTTATTTTGAGTTTTGGGTTTTTCATTAATTCCAACATAATTATTTGTGTAGGATTTAAACTTATAAAATTACTATGTTAGTCTTTATAATTAGTAATGGAGCATTAAAATATTTTACTAAAGAAAACTAAATGAATAGAAAGTATTTATTAAAGAAGTATATTCTTGGGATTTTTGTTTGGTTAAAATATCAATTTTTTGTTAATATGTATTCATCTAAGAAAATAATTAGTCATAAGTGAATTTGCCATTTGTTTTGCAGAACTTGGCATCTTGCCTAATGATATACAAAATTTGTGCTTGATTGAGATTGAAAAGTTGCTAAATTCAAATGGAAGCTCTTTAAAAGAGTTTGATGACATGCCTTTTCCAGTTGAAGACCCGATGAATATGTTTCAAAATAATTTCTTGGTTGAAGAGCTGAATTATGGCAAAGAAAATTTGTCCACAGATCTCAAAGAATATTTATCAACGTTGAATGACGATTAGAGAAAAATATACGATGAGATAATAGAAGTTGTGGCAGCTGGGAGAGGAGGTTTTTATTTTGTATATGGTTACGGCGGAACCGGAAAATTATTTCTTTGGAAATCACTATCGGCTACGCTTAGATCGAATTGTTAGATTGTTTTAAATGTTGCATCTAGTGGAATTACAGCATTTCTATTACCGGGTGAGAGGACTGCGCATTCAAGATTCTTGATCCCTTTAGCACTAACTGAATGTTCAACTTGTGGGATCAAACAAGGAAGTCCAGAAGCAGAATTAATTCAACAAGTAAGTCTAATAATATGGGATGAAGCGTGTATGATGAATAAATTTGCTTTTGAGGCGTTAGATCGCACCTTGAGAGATATTATGCGGTTCTCTAATAAAAATGCTGGAAATAAACCTCTCGGTGGAAAAACAGTTGTGCTCGGTGGTGACTTTCGTCAAATACTTCCAGTTATACCAAGAGCTTCAAGAAAGGACATTGTGGAAGCTACTGTGAATTCATCCACTTTTGTGGTCATATTGTAAAGTATTTACATTGACTAAAAATATGAGATTGCATTTACCTTCATCTATCCACGCTAATAGTGACACACAACATTTTTCTGAGTGGATAATCAAGATTGGAGATGGATAGTTTGGTGAAATTGGTGAAATTGAAATTCCATCTAAATCTTGGATCCTGAACTCAAGTTCTCCACTTAAGAGTATAGTAGAATTCACGTATCCAAACTTATTGGAAAATATGAAAGATTATACTTTTTTTATGGATAGAGCTTTATTAGCACCCACGTTTGAAGTTGTTGAAATGATCAATGATTTTGTTTTGTCTCTTATTCCTGGAGATGAAAAGGAGTATTTGAGCTCTCATTCTTCATGTCAAGAAGATACAGATGTATGCATAGATGGTGATTGGATAACGACTAAGTTTTTGAACAATATCAAGTGTTCAGGAATTCCAAACCACAAAATTGTTTTGAAAAAGGAGTACCAATTAGGTTATTGAAAAACATTTATCAAACATCTGGGTTGTGTAATGGAACAAAGTTAATAGTTGAAGAGTTGCAAAGAAATGTTACCGGTGCAATAGTTGTATGAGGAAACAATGTCGGCGAGAAAGTTTACATACCGCGAATGAATTTGGTACTGTCAGATTCTGGAATACCATTTAAGTTTCAAAGGAGACAATTTCCAATATCTTTATGTTTTGGCATGACGATCAATAAGAGTCAAGACCAAACATTATCATTTGTTTGATTATTCTAGACCAAATCGGTATTCACTCACGGTCAACTTTATATTGTAGTTTCACGAGTGAAAACTAAGAAAGGATTGAAAGTCTTAGTTTTAGATGACAATGATAACCCTTGAAATTGCATAAAAAATGTGGTTTATCCTGAAGTCTTCCAGAAATTTTGGATGTAATTAACACATTTATACGTTCTTTTCAATTTTTAAATACATGAATTTTAGTTAGCATACTCTGTTTATGTCATATCATTCATTAAACTTCTAATATTGTATATTAAAATTAGCTATATTTTTTAATCATTTATTAAAACCAAAAACTTAATAGAGTTAAAAACAACATGCATTCGACCCCGTGCGTTACACGGGTTAAATACTAGTTCTAATAAAAAGGAATAGAATCATAGACTCATAGTATGGGGTCTATACTGGAAGAAAATTTTCGAGCTATCTCCAAAGATTTTGTAACGGAAGAAAATACCTTTACAAATAGTCCCAGCATATCTCCAAAAAAAAGTTACAACATGGGACTTTCTCTTAATATTTTTAGAGTAAACTTTATAATTAGTTTTCTAAAACTGAAAACTTTCCAGATTGAAATCTCGATCTATTGTCAAACATTAAGTTTATGGTTTTTCATTAGGGTAAGCAAGGATCGAACTAGAGCTGGCAAATCGGTCGGTCGGGTCGGGTTCGGATTCGGTCACTTTGAATTCGGATTATTTCGGGTTCAGGTCAACTTGGGTTCAGATTGAGAATTGTATGTTCATGACCCAGTGTCATCGGGTTCGGGTCGACCCAACGGGTTATGACTTTGGTTTTTTAAATTTTTAAATTAACATTAACATTTGCATTTTCCATTAAATAAATTTAAAATATCAAAATAAATGTATTACATATATGAGATTATTTTATTTTAAATTCTGAAGTAATTTTTAGGTATATAAATCAATATAAGGAATTTAAAAAATGCTTAAGTTTTGGAAAAAAGTACCCCCTCCGTTCTAAAAACACTTCCTCTTTCATTTTTTCACTTCCAACAAAACACTTCCACGTTCTATAAAAAAACCACTTTTACCCTTACCTTTTCATACCGAACCTATCACATCATACTTTTTCTCTAATAATCAATCCATCACATCTTACTTTTACCCATCACATCAGGGGCAAAATTGGAAGTCAACTATAATTTTATACTTCCTTATTTTGGCTCCAAGTCAAAGTAGGAACTTTTTTTGCAAACAGAGGGAGTAAGATAAATACGCAATGTCATTAAAATTTTGTTTGAAAATGTAAATTTATACACTAAAAATGAGTAGTAAAGTGTATGATTTTTAAAAAATTATTACTTTAACGGGTTTGTCAGGTCGGGTTCGGGTTCAGTTAGGTTTGACCCATTTTTAGCGGGTCATTTCGGGTTCGGTCAACTTCGGGTTCGGTCATCAAAACCTTTGTTCAAAACCCAGTGTTTTCAGGTCGGGTTTCGGATAAAAAATAGGTCGGGTCATTTTTTGCCA